TACTCGTGTCACGGGTCCGAATTTCTAAACCAAGGATGGGTTACCTGGCATTGCCCACCTCGCATCTACACTGCGCCCAGACCGGCTCGCCGTGGGTCAGCAGCTCAGACCCCTCTCAGCTCAGATCTCTCTACATCCGGTGCTGGAAATTCATATGCATCTTCATCTCTTTGCTGTGATGTCAAGTTGTGTTTGTTTCTACATATTCAATTTTTATTTTGTATTATTCTGAAGTCTTACTACTTTGTGTACTTTATGCTCTTACTACATATTTACTGTGGGCTTCTGTAACACGATTTGGTAAAGAATTTTGATATTATGGTCAGCGTGGACAGAACTGACATTTGCATTTAGATAAATTCTGTAAAATCAAGCTTAATGGATCTATAATAAGGAAGAGGGGACTACAGTACCGTGTAGGATTTGTTGCAGGAAGGCTCAATGCCAGCATCCTGTAGGGCCCTACAATGACAACAGGACATGTGCGTCAGGCTGTGTGTCTGGAGGAGAGACCAACACAGGTGACTCAGAACCAAAACAAAAACATCAACGCTTAAAAACTGGGGTTTTTCAAAGTGATTTAGTGAAAATTCTATATCCATATATCCAAGGAGAGCTGGCATGCCACTTTCAACCAGGAAGCTCGGATGGGTAGATAATACTGCCACAGCAAAACACTTCACAAACAGTTCAGTGCAGTTCTGGAAGACTGGCTCTGTACCTGGGATCCGGCAGTGTTGGCACAGCACCGGGTATTTCAGGACTCCTGGAAATGCTAATTTTATATTTGCGGTATTAGCTCTCATAGTGACAAAACACCATGCACACAACGGAGCACACACAAACACACAGCAGGCTTGGAGAGCTTGATCTAGTTCAACAGCTAGGCCTCCAAGGCCAGTCAGGTGACAGTCAGGCAGACAGTCAGGTGTGGAGACTTGCGGATGCCAAGCTGTTGAAATGGTTTTCCTGAGGCGGCTGCTGGAGTGTTACTGTGGTTCTGGTCTGTGATTTGACTGGAAGATGGTCTGGCGACTCGCACCTGTCGATGTCGAAGTGGGCTCGTAGCTTGAGGGACGTCTGGAAGTACCTGGTGGGGGAGTTCATGCCCTCCACACAGCCAGCACAGGAGCCATGCTTGATCCACTCGTCCTTCCTGTGGCAGAACCAGACTCGAGAG